TTTTTCTCTACCTATGTAGCACTATCACAGATCACTTTGGACACGTAATTTTAGCACTTAATAACACTGATCAAAAGAACGACTCCACACTTACTCATTGCCAGATACATCATCCATATACATACATACATACATATATATATATATATATATATATTATATATATATATATATATATATATATATATATATGTATATATGTATACGCATGTGTGTTTTTTGTAAATTTGAGTATATATATGTCTGTCTATATACATAAACACACACACATACACACACAACACATATATATATATGTATATATATATATATATATATATGTGTGTGTGTGTGTGTGTGTGTGTGTGTGTGTGTGTATGTGTGTGTGTGTGTGTGTGTGTGTGTGTGTGTGTGTGTGTGTGTGTGTGTGTATATATATATATACATATATATATATATATATATATATCTATATATATATCTATATATATACATATATATATTATGTATGTATATATATATGTGTGTGTGTATATATATATATATATATATATATATTATATATATATATATATATATATATATATATATTATATATATATATATATATATATATATACACACATATATAAATATAAATATATATATTATATATATATATATATATATATATATATATATATATATATATAAATATATATTATATATATTATATATATATATATATATATATATATATATATATAATATATATATATATATATATATATGTATATATATATATATATATATACATATATATGTGTGTATATATATATATATATATATATATATATATATATATATATATAATATATATATTATATATATACATATATATATATATATATATATATATATATATATATATATATATATATATATATATCCTGAAGTCAAACAGGATATCTACTACAGCAGTTAACAATACTGCCGTAGAAGATGTCTGGGTTACCGTACAAAGCAACATGCTTCCTTCCTTCATTATTGGCGCTGTTTATAGGCACCCCCATGCTACCTCGGAATCTTTTGAATACATTGAAAAGGCTTTTAGAGAAATATCCTTAAAAAAGAAACCGCTTTTCATCTTAGGTGACCTAAATGATGATTTAACAAAATCTAATGCTAAATTAGCAAAGGTAATTAAGAAAAATAAATTAGAACAAATAATAGATAAACCTACTCGAATTACAGAAAACACCTCTTCTCTATTAGATTTAATAATAACTAACAGACCAGATCTCATTCTCCATTCCGATGTCACCCCGTGCCACGTTGCTGATCATGAACTTATCACGATGACAATAAATATAAAGAAAACAATGAGACCATCAGTAATAAAAACTTTTCGCGATTTCAAACACTATGACCCTCAGTCTTTCCGCGAGCTTATCCTGTCTAAAGAATTGAATCTATTAAATATTCCATCGATAGATAATGTAAACAAACAAGTAACTATTCTCACGGAAATTATTAATATCAGCATCGATGCGCTGGCTCCCTACGTAACACGAATCGTCAGACGTCCCCCTGCTCCATGGATAAATGACATCAAGAGAGCCATTTGCGATAGAAATGAAGCCCACCAAGCTCTTAAAAGTAGCACGAATCTGCCTTTCAAGTAGATTATAAAGTAAAAAAGAAAAATGTCAAAATGTTAATTCAATCTGCTAAAAGAAACTATTTCAGAAATAAATTTACCGAGTATAAGAATAACTCTGATAAGACATGGAAAATTGTTAAAACACTAGGGCCTCAAAACAAACAGCTCACTAGTGATTGTGCAGTTCCTACACAAAACACAGAACATTTTAATCACTTCTTTTCAAAAATTGGAAAACTAACTTATGAACAAACAACTGCTTCTACATTACAACGAAACACAGATAGGGCAATGTTTACAACTAATTTTTTTCAGACCACAACCAGTGGACGTAGAAACAATAATCTTAGTAATAAAACACCTTCGCGAAACAAATGCTGTAGGAGCAGACGGTATTGCTTTGCGCTTTATCAGAGATAGTCTACCCGCAATTACACACTATTTGACGGTCATTATTAACACCTCTCTGGTCACTGGTGTCTTTCCGTCGCTTCGGAAACATGGTATAGTAACACCAATTTTCAAGTTGGGGGATGTAGACGATGTGAATAATTATCGCCCTATCACTATACTCCCTATATTACCTAAAGTTCTTGAAAACATTGTAGCAAATCAATTAACGAGTTTCCTGGAGGCCAATAACTTATTATTTAAAACGCAACATGGTTTCAGAAATAAGTTATCTACTGAAACAGCTTTAATACAAATTACTGATGAGATCTATAATAACATAGACAAATAATCAGGTAAATTTGCTCACATTATGCGACCTTTCTAAGGCTTTTGATAGTGTTAACCATGAAATTCTCCTCAACAAATTAGTAATTCATAAAATTGATACCTTTTGGTTTAAAAGTTATTTAGATGCAAGAACCCAATCGGTAAGAATCAATGATTGTATGTCATCAAAACAACAAGTACCTTTTGGTGTCCCACAAGGATCCATTTTAGGTCCGATCCTATTCACAATTTTCATAAATGATTTATCAACAATAGCTCATAACTGCCTTCTGGTACAGTACGCCGATGGTTCACAGTTTCTTCATAGTGACTCTGTAAACAACTTGAATACATTAATAAGAAACACTCAACATACCCTTACACAAGCAAAATTATATTTTGACACTAATGGCCT